TATATAAAATGACCTTTTCACAAAAAGCTAGAACAAATGTGACCCATCGCATCAAACCAAGGATTAAGTAGAGAGATCACCATAATTGCACTTTGACAAAATAAAACGAATAAATGTGAATCTATAGGTTCCTTCTTGAATGGATCCTATAATATTGTTTTGAAGCAACCTTTCTGAGCAATTCCACCAAATAACATGATTTTGAAAAGAAAAGCCCTACGTTTTTGCTATTTTCCCTGCATACTACAAAAGCACTTTTTCTTTTCAGCTGGAAAATCCCAAAATCCAAACATGGTTTGAAGTGTCCTCTTTCAAACTGCATCAAAAAATCTTTATTAGCATGGAAAAAATAAGATTCAGACCAGTTTTCCAGAGGTCTTTCCCATTATCAAGACTAATCAATCCACATCTCTTGAACTGATCGTGAGATCAGAATGACCAGATATCAAAATATGCTTTGCTTAGTTTGACCAAATATGACTTCTTAGTTTGATGTCATAAACAGACCCCCCAACAGACCACTCAAGACCTCGTTTTTTTTACACTTGGCGTGAAGGCAGCAATGCTACTGTCTAGCTTTTTATCATCAGATTGTCACTTCACAGTAAAACTACATTGCATTTGCACCTCTTCCATCCCACCAGCAACAAACATAATGATCCCCAAATAATGAAAGTACGTTCCTTTCTGATTGCACCATCCGTCACGTCTTGAACCATGGAGGGCTTCTTGGAAGAGAACCCAGGAGGGCTTTGGAAGGACACAAAAAAGACCCCCAGGAAGCCTGTTAAGAAACCCTGAAGTTTCTGAGACTGACGATAAAAAACTGAAGCTTTTTGACAAGTTGCATCTAATCCATGTTTCGAAGAAAAGAACACCATGTCTACTATGAAACATGAAGGACACAGAGATTTAATTTGGTGTGAGGAACCTTGGATCTATGTAGGGTAATATCAAGCCTATCAAGGCATCGTGGAGCACAACATATTACGCAGTCTGTCCTTCAACAGGAAAATGACACACAAAATCCAGCTGATAACACCCAGGTATGGCTGAAAAAATAACACTGGGCTGGTATTAAAAAGCCCTCCATGATTTGAAAACTTTTACCAGGGCTGTGTCTCAATTCAGGGGTTACAGCCCACCTAGACTGAGGTCCACGGTGGCCACGCCCAGTCTGTGTAGTCTGCATAAAACAGCTGTGAAATAAGATGGTCTAGTCTTTGGATGACTTATGTTTGCATGACCCCGTTACATTTTATATCACGTATCTGCAATTGGATCATGTATTCACACGTCTTTTCTGGGGAAGTTAACAAAATACAATGCATTAATAAAAAACGTTACACGTAAATAAATAAAAAGCATAAATAATTTATGTTTAGCTCCAGGATCAGCACTTGTTGCGTTTTATATAATATCTCAGCTAAGTTGCTGAACTTAAAATTTAAAAACAAATTCTTTGATCTGTAATAAATTTCCAAACTCGGCCATTTAAAATAACAAAACAAAACTCTGCCGTCTTTGCTGACGGCGCAATGAATGCTGGGATATCGTCGGCCACGTAGTTTACTCAAATCTATGTTTTGGGGGATTTGTGGACCGCATTTGTCGGCAGCCCCTGAATTGAGACACAGCCTCAGAGATCGATGCAAAATGTGCTGCTGCAAAATATTAAATTATGGCATCTATCTTTTAAGGCGCCATTTTGTTTTAATTAGATTAAATGCTGAAATTATTCAAAAATAAAAGCAATATTTAACTTGTGTTAAATATGAAATACACAATAAGGGCTGCCATTAAAAATTTTAGCATTTAAGTTATTTTACAAATAAACAGGATGGGAACCAGCAAATTTGTCTGCAACTGTTTGCTTACAGACACCTGTAGCTTTCAGCCCCTGCCTTTCATTGAGGCGGCTGATAAAAACCCAGCCATTAATATTCTGCTTCTACATAGAAACAAAGACATGAAAAAACAAAAACAATGTCGCTTTGATTCACATTAGCTCGAATCAGAAAACAAACATCTTTTCTTTTTGGATCATTTTGTGTTTTTTCAAAATCAAACAACTCAAACATTTAACCCTAATTTCCTCTGCCTCACAGATGGCTAATTGCAGTATTCAGTATAATCAGGTTTTTTTAAGCCAAAGCAGAGATTTGTTCCGTTTACAGATTGGTGAAATGGTTTGAGTCCATTTAAAACATTACCTCACGAGTCAGACCAGTGTGCGACGAGGGTCGCTGCAGTTTGACTCGTCTTACAGACCATCTTAAAACTTTTAGTTAAAACTCTGGCAAACAATTTCAGAATGTTTCCCAACAAGACAAAAAGACTTTTGCAGATTTCATCGTTTGCGGCAGAAAGTAGAATTAAAAGCTGCAGCTGTAGAAACCTGTGCGTGCATGACAAGGCTGAAAATAAAGATCTATGGCTGTCAGGCCCACAGGCAGCTCTGTATTAACACACATCAACCTATTGTGGAAAAGCACAGCATGGAGCTCATGAACATTTCTGAAAGCCGTTTTCAGTCACAGTTTATCACGACATCTAAAAACAAGGCTGAAAACCTGGAAACAAACAGACCCGTGTCAACATGGTGCAACTTTTCTAAAGGGGAAGTCAGGTTAAGAGACGTCACGTCTTAGAGCTAAACTATTATTATTATTATTATTATTATTATTATTGTTATTGTTATTATTATTATTATTAT